GACCTTCTGTGTGTAATGAAAAGGAGCGATCAGCTTCTTGAGACTCGTAAGCAAGGAGATTTATCCTTGGAATTAGAAAAACCTTTTTGTGGGCATGATGGAGGCTTATGTGGATGTGTGGAGATATAGGCAAATTCATGTTGAACTTGTTTGTAAATCAGCTAATCAAAATGAACACTTAGGGATGAGAGATATACATTGGTGTTACACTCAAGAACATCAAAAATCAGCAATTTTGCAGTTCAAATTTAGGCCACCACCTTTTAACGGTGGTCAGAAACATACTGATCGCTTATATGTGAGTATGTGTGTGCAGTGAGAGATGTTTAGCCAAGCCTGGCTTTTCAGTTTCCGTGTGTCTGCTGCTCTCTCCGGAGAACCACTGCACTGCGGAGGAAACTTGAACTGTGCCCAGCTCCCGTGAATATCACTCATACACAGTGTTGCACACAAACCATCCCACGCAGAACACACGCACACACACAGGCCCGGAAGCTTCCTATAAACACAGAGGGACAAAGCTCACCATAATGGGGTTTCCTGATTAATGGAATTGCGTTGATAAATAGAAGGATACCAAATGGCAGGCACACAGACACTCTGGGATGTCTCACTTACAGTATTTTTTCCACCCTTACAGCTTTTTTTTTAAACCAGTAATAACTCCCTAAAGCCCTCTAAGATTTTTTAAACTATAAAACAAATGTCTCCTTGTTAATGGGATGTCTTGGATGACTTTCACGATTCCACTTTGCATATCCAAAGCCAACCTCTTATGTAAGTCACAGATGAGAAGACAACGGACTTCCTGACCATGTAAACAGCCCTAATTGTAATTGCAAACCTCGCAGTGCAGGATGACAACTATTCATCTGCAATAGAGGTTCTCTGCCTTAGTGATTCCTTCTTTTCAACATTACTTCATAGAAATGAACCAAAAAACACCTAAAAAACCTGACTCAGTGGCTTCAAAATAGTTTTGAAAAGTTATCTTTGAGATTGAAGGAGTGCTGAACTAAATGATCTCTACACTGAAAGAATGCAAATATTTAGCCCTGCGAGTTTTTCCATATCGGCAATCTGCAAATGAAGATCCTCAAATCACCAAAGAAGGCAGGTCAGTTGTAGAGAGACCTTTTAAAAAGTGCTGATGTAAAAGAAAGGCCTCAGGGTCACCTTAGCAGCAGAGCATTGACGAGTATTTCAAAACAAGGGAAAATGGACACCTTGTCTTCTCTCTCAAATGAAGTCAATCGCAATATGCTGTGAACAACACCAGAGTTAACCTGTATGGCTCATCCAAAAAACGGGTATCAGGAATTAACGTGTAAGAGTAGCATTTGCTGTGATGTGTTGGGATACTGACAGAGATTTACCTGCCACTGAACAACGAATCAACTAGATTTAATTTACTGTAAAAACAAAAACATTAGGAAAGGAAATATTGGTGTCCGTAATTACTTTCATTGAATAATAAAATCTTCAATGATATATATACCAATATACCAATGATCTACGGGCGGCTTTCTGTGTGGAGTTTGCGTGTTCTCCCTGTTTCTGCGTGGGTTCTCTTTGGGTTCTCCTGCGAGTTCTTCCTCCCACAGTCCAAAAACCTGCATGTTAGGTTGATTAGACATTCCAAATTGTCCTTAGAAGTGAATGTGTGTGTGGTTTGTCTTGTATGTCTTGTGTGTGGTCCCGCGATGGACTGACGGAGTGTCCAGGGTGCACCCCACCTCTTGCCCATTGACTACCGGAATAGGCTCCAGTTCTCCCCGCGACCCCATAGGGGAATGGGCAGTGATGATAAGGGATGATCTACCAAAGACAGTGACAAATAGAACTTTTTTATTCTCATGAAAACTAGTCTCTTTTGTAACAGAACAGTGTAACACTGTTCCAAGTCCCCATTGGCAGCTGCTTGCATCCAGATAAGCTGAGTGCAGTGGGAAAGGGTTGACGATTCATTCCTGTGCCAAAGCATTCTGCTATAGTCATTTATCAGTCATTTGTCAGATCTGGCACGGCTTCGGTCAAAGCACTTTCATACTTTCTTTTAATTAATAGAACTGAACTCTGGACAATACAATTCTTTCTTCGCATATATCGTCATTCGTTGGACAATGCCATGGTTATTTTGATTATAACATCTACAGCAAACTCACTGTTTGTAGTGTGAAGATAAGGATGTTCAGGGGAATGCAGCAGGAAGTCACCAAGTGAGGCATCATCTGACTTTGTGTTCCGTGTTATGACAGTCAGAGGTGACCAGACTCAAAGGCTATGTAATGTGGCCAAAAAGCCTCCCATTAAGAGAGGTGTAAGGTCGAAGCTTTCCCTCTGGTTTTCCCAAAAGAGTGAGATCAATGAGCGAATTAAAGGGACTGGTTCAGTTTGACTAATGCTATTGACATTCTGCTGTTCTAGTTCACATTTTTGTCCAAACACTGGATGTTTAAAGTTGAGCTACTTGAGCTGCTAATTCCAAAATATATATTTGATGTATTCTTTAGCCACTTGAATCTCATGATATATGATGAAGAACCAGGTGCTGAGGGTGGTGAAACCCAGAGGAAAGAGCATGTGATGTGAAGAGTCCCTGCAATCCCCACATGACAATAGCTGCCCTTTCACTCATGTATGACCCGGGACGGATGTGTCTCTTTAGCATTGTTGTGAAAAATCAATATTCAAAACTATATCCTCTTTACTACCTCTGAGTTGAGGGAATACATCTTCAGGAATGGAAAAGAGACTCAAACATATCCTCTTTAAAAACTATCAATCAGAGTTTGTCTCTGACCGAGACCTTTTTCAATGCAGAAAAATTTGCACAGCACTTGTAAATGTTCAACCAGTCAAAACTAGGTTGGTTGATCATTTCTGAGCACAGGTTTGTAGCTAAAATGTATTCCGTTGTTAATTTCATTCTCATAACGCTGTGTTTGTGAGTAATTGGCAGAGATGTATGTTTATATGATTTGGGTAAGTGATAACACATATCTTGGGTTGCCGGTTCACTTGTAGAGAACTTTTTACACACATATTTACTCAAGATTGAATTTCAGAAACAAAACCAAATTACATTTAAAGGCAGCCTGTAACACATGAAAAACACCACCTGAATGCACCACCTTACCAGACTTAATACACAAATGCGTAACATATATAGAAAGGGGAATCAAAATGCTGAATCAGTTCCTGAAAACCAACTCCTTGGTGTCAATTTAATTTAGTATTTAATGATAGAGAGCATTCCACATCATCTACTTGCAGTCTCATCGCCTCAGTCTTCTCTTGTCACTGTAGCCAAAGTCAACAAATCAAGCAGCTCTGATGGGGTAAATCTGATTGGGTGCATTCATTTCAGCTCAATCAACACACAAGATGCATTGACACACCAACAAAAATGGCCACTCAGAGCTTGTGGACATCGGTTTCCTTCACTCACTCACAAGAGTGAAGGAAACAGATGTCCACAAGACAGCATCTGTGCTTGTAACATGATAAGGGTTCTACAATCACATTCTGTGGTCCTGTGAGACTAAAAATAAATAACTGCAAGTCAAAATGCATTTCTTTCCAGACTCTGCCATCTAGTGGTGTAGGGCATGGGGTTTGTGTTGACAACTTGAAAATAATCACTCCAATATTCCTGTAATGCTTCTGTTCTGTTTGTGGAACATGAGATATGTGCTGAACAAATTCCTTCATTGTTATATCAGGGTTTACATTGCTGTAATGTTCAGTTATTTGAATGCTGATGACATCACTTTAACTTCGGGTGTTTCATAATGGCTTTTTGGGTTGTGACATGAGTAATTCAAATTCAGTTCATTCATTCATTCATTCTGCAACCTAACATGCCGGTTTGTGGACGGGTGGAGGAAGCTGGAGAACGCGGAGAGAACCCACGCAGACACAGGGAGAACATGCACACTCCACACAGAAAGTCCTGGTTCCCCCGGGGACTCGAACCCTCTTGCTGTGAGGGGATGGTGCTAACCACCACAACACCGTGCCGCCCTATCTAATATCATACAATATCTAAATTATTAAGTAAGAAAGTGAATTAAGGCCCTTGTGGCTATAATGGGTTGTCATTTAAGTTTTGACATAAAACCTATATGTGTTTTCTACATGGGGGGACTCACTACTGAATCCACTGAGGGATTTCAGAGTGACTAAAAGGTCTTGTATAACCACAGCTAGGGCAGTGCCCACATACTTAGCACCCCTGGAACAAACCTTGTTTACAGCGCATGTTGGATTCCAGCAGAGTTTCTAGGGGAGGGTTCTAGTCTCCCGGATCAAAAGGACTCAGCTGGTTCTCCCAGGAGGTGTAAACGTGATTTGAGAGGGACATTTTTTGCTCTTGGATTCCTTTTGGATGGATGCATGGATGGACAAACCAGCCAAGTCATCTGCTTCAGTTCATTTGTGGTGTTAAAGCTTTGTATTTTATGTCAAAAGACTGTATTATTGTGCATTTGTTATTAAAAGCTAAAATGGCTTCAATATTAAATTTACAACACAAAGGGAAAGCTTAGTTGTTTTGACTTTATATCAGATTTATTCAAAATAACAATTGGATGTAAAGGTTTGAACTGTTTGACAAATTATTTTTCTTCTTGTAAAGATTTTATTGGTCGTGGCCTGTTGAGAATATATTATAGTACTGAAACTGCTTTCAAAGTCTTTGTCTTGTGCTCTACATATTTTATGTATATTTGATATTGTATCTTTCTGGGTTTCATGCTATACATACATATTAATCTTAGAATATTGTTTTTGTGGGATCAGTTTAACCAATTCAATTTAAAAATTATAACACCAAATCAAACTAAACAGGACACTAAGAAATGTGGAGTCTAACCATTTGGTATGAACAATTGGGTAATAATGAGCCGGTGTGGTTGTTGTACTCCATTCCAGTAGAGAGCAGCAACGTCACTCTAACCATTAAAAGCAAAGGATTATGGGAGTTTTTCCTCTTGAAATACAACGTGACTTCGACGTTTAACGGCATAGTAGTGAGGAACGTTGGAAGAGACGTAACGTGTAGTTTGAGCTCTGTATTTAAGTATTTAAAACATTTAGCTTTTTTAAGTATTATTTTAAAGGCTTTTTGTTTAAGGTTTAAAGACACTTTTTAGAGACATTTTTTAACTCGGGGAGCCGAAAGTTTATCTTCGAGGAAAGTGACGATTCTGCGAAGTCATTCGAACAAACTCGGATCTTTTCTTCTCTAATTTTTTGGTACTTTGAAATGTGTAGAGAGACCATGGATGGCACATCGGAGCTCACGAAAATTGACTATCTGCGACAAAACGCTAAGTTTGGATCTGAACTTAAGTGGAAGTTTGTCCGTGTGTCCACAGATGAGAACGAGGCCTTCAAACGCTGCCGAGCCACGAGGTTGACCAACCGCAAACGCACCCGCCGTGAGCCCAAGCGCAGAGAGCTGGCCAGACTAGCGAAACTCTACGAAGTCACGGGCAAGAAGGACGAAAAGGAGTCCGCCATTAAGGGAAAAGATTCCGCGGCCTGCACTCAGCGTCCACCAGCCGGAGCAATGGCGCCCGAAAACACCACACAGTATCTGATGAGTAACGTGTACGACGACGTAGAGACGGAATATCACCGGAGCGATAAAACGTGGGCACACATTTATTGTGAATATCTTTCTCCCAGTAATGTGTACGCTGCTCTGGACTCTGGTTATGAGAGTTGTCTTGAATTCCAGCAGCGGGACTTTGAGGAAGTGTTTAACCTGACGTGGCAACCGGAATAAACTGGTCTGCGAGGTCCACCGAGACTGCTCTGGCCTCCTCCGCGGCCGTGACTTTTCATGAGGAAAATGTACAAAGGTGTGAGGAGTAGCGTTGTACGTGTGTTGGAAATGTGTTGTGTCGTAGCCCAGGTCATGTATGCTTTGTGGCATGATTCATGGTTGGGCTTTATTTGTCCTACAGCGGTGCTTTGGACGCTGCCCGCCCGGTAGGGGGCGCTCCTGAGCCCTGCTCGCTTGGCGTCTCTTCCCCGTCGGAATCCCCGCCGCCAGCTCTGGGCCCACGGATTGTGAAATCCAGGTAAACCAGGGCAGGTATTCTGACGCACTGCATTGTCATTACTGGCAGTAATCGATTTGTGATGCAATGTTGGGACGTGAACATGAGGGTGATGTCCAAGAGTCACTGTTGTGTGAGCGTTTTCCAGGTCTTCCGCATCAGGACACATGACTGGCTGTGGGGCGAACAAAGGGAGCCTGCCCTCACGAGGTGACACTTACCGTGCTGCTCAGTGTGACTCGAGCATCAACACTTAATAATGCTGTTAAAGAAGTTAACATGCAACGTTTATTTAAAGGGATACAATTGTGAATATAATTTAGTGTTGAGTTTGTTCAATAAATGTTCAGTTATAATGCAAACTTGTGTTGACTGTTTACTTTTGAAAAAATGTATATATTGCACACACAAATAAAACCTTCATTTAGACTGGTATAAAAAAAAAAAATATCTGACTTATCACCCCATATTCTATGATGTCAGTGGGTAAGTATTTAGAACTTTAGAATGTCTATTTTTTTTAAGCTGTTGCCCTTTGGTCAACAATTGTGGGGCTTTTATCCCCTGTGCATTTCTAGAAGTTGCAGTCAAATGCAACTAATCTTGGAACTTAAACTTTATATTTATACTTTATTTGGAGCTGAGAACCATAATTGATCAATAGAAACCATTGTGACTTGTGTTGCAGAACGGGTCAAAACCAGTCTTTCTCCCAGTTCTGCAGATTGGAAACGCACCACCCCCCACTGTGGCTCATCTTAAAAGCTACCACTAGATGGCAGTATTGGACAACAAACCACAGGCCAGGGAAAGCTCATAAGGGTCATGCAAAAGTTGCTGCTAGAGTAAGAGGTGTTAATTATTGCTGGTCTGATTTTAGATTGCATCGTGTGACCTTTGTCTCAGTGAGGGCCACATTGAGACGTGATTCAGATGAAGCCTTAATGGCGCAAGGCCGGCAGGGACAAATGGTATGGGTTACTTGTCGGCCGACCAAATAAGATTGAAATCTTTCGTAGTCCGAAAACAATCCCTCTGCTGTAATTGCTGTGATTTACTGTATGCTGCCGAGTTAATCTAAATCAGATATGAGGGGGGACTGTAATGGAAAAACTATTCTGGTGTCTTTTGAAGAGCTGGAGCACAAGTTCCATGTCTTTTTAAGGGAAAAAAGTCATCTGGAAAAGGGTTGCAGTGCAGTTATCTGGACTCGGTCCGTCTGATGCAGAAGCCGATAGCTCTGAGAGACGCCCGCAGCCGGTGGTGCAGAAACTGTCAGTCAGCAGCTCTGCGGTGGAGCTTGACGTGCAGCGGCTCCACCTGAAGGTGCGTTTTGTGTGTGGACGGAGGCCTGGACAGAGATGCTGCTGCTGGCTGATTGATGCAGGCTGTCGCAGCATCGATCCATGAGAGGCCTGCTGGGGGCCGGGTCTGGGGCCCTTTGGGTGTCCAGTGTATCCACATTTTAAGTGAGTCAAACTAAGAGCACTTGAGTTCTGTGCTTTGATTTCTGACCACCACTGGTCCCTCTATGGAGAGTTCTTCAGAGTTCATTGTGTTTTCTGGTTGAACCATTTCAGCCATCATTGACCCCATTACCACTTAAATACTCCAGGAAGTATTTTGGGCGCCATGGCTGTTGAAGAGAGCCAGGAGTTAGGATTTGGCTCTGACAGCTCTTTGGACTCTTGGATTGGAGGTGTTATGGCTCTGGTGTGCAGAGCAAATGTGTTTCTGAGTCTTGAGTTTGAGCCCTACTTACAGCATGTAAACGCAACAGGGATAAATGTCATTCTATGGTATGTGGGGAGGGAATTTAAGAGTAATCTTCATCCATGGGTTGTCTGCTTTTTTTTTTTTTTTTTTACATGTTCACAAAAAATAAGAATTTTAAACAAGCAGACAACGCATGGAAGAAGTCAAAGCTCAGACAGATGAGTATCTGCATGTGCTGACGCATGTCCTGGTGAGAACCTCAGGATGCACCCAAGAGAAATCAGATTAGAAAAGTTCCACACATGAATAAAAGCAAAGGAAGCAGCTGTAATTTAAGCTCCCACGAGAAGGAATTCTGGCTCTGATCCTTCGCTGAGAGAAGTGACTCAAGAGTAAACATTTCCTGATTTTTTTTTCCCAGCTCAAAGCTAAGCTTCAAAGAGTTTCAGCCTGGGAAGTGGTTGGTGTAGGTGAGTAATCAGAATGCTGAATGATCTGCATTAACAGCCTTCCCTTGTCATGTAAACAGTCGGGGTGAGAATGGGCGTCAGTAGGCTTTGTTCCCTGGCTCAAACACCTTCATTAGAATTTCTTTATCTTTAGAAAACACGCTGCTCGAGCTGACCACCGCTATTTAAGTCATTTTAAATAGTCAAGAGCTTCTTAAATGTGTCAACATTTCACACAGCAAAACATAGAGCATCCAACCTGTTATGTGGCAAAAAATGTTTTGACTTGTTTCTTCTATTCCCATTTCATCCAGGTCTAACAATTCAGTACTAACACACTCAAACTAGTTTGTAGTCTGTTTTTATCATTGTACCAAAGATGAGAAAAGTGAGAGAGGAGCCATGTTTTTATTATGTAAGGATCTACTGCTTTCATAAGCTGTTGTGAGTCACACAGGAACTTAGAAAGGAACTCAACAGCCTTTATTTAACCAGAGTATAGATGGTTGAGGATGTTTCAAACCTGCTCTGGTCTAAATGATGTGAAAACTGTATGTGCGCTTTAAAATGTACATAATCAGTTCAGACCATTCTTCAAAACCTCCCCAGCTCATATGGAATTATTTATGGAATTATTACTATAAATTACTATAATTTACCATAAATCTGACAAAGACCCAACCAGTACATCACACTTTCTTCAAAACTAAAACAGCTTTTCAGTCTATTTGTCATTATATGTGCTTTGATGTCTTGGGAGCCATTTTCTTGATCAAAAAGAAACCCCAAGGATGTTAGTTTTCATGCATTTGAGTTTTAAACTGTTACCCCTAAAGTCAGTCATGTTTTTTTTACTTCTGCAAAGGGACAACCAGGAACTCCACTGGAAGGAGAGAGGAAACTGAGAGGGGAACCGTTCCCAGTAAAATTACAGGAAATGAACCAAGGAACATTGAAGTGGCCGTGTTAACATCTGCACCCACACACAATAATTCCCTCCAGGACACCGAAGAAAAGGAGTTAATGAGCGTAGAGCGTAACTCACTGTAACTAGTCATCTTTTCTGTAAATATGGTGTAGCATATGTCCATGTCAACTTAACCCAATTTCTCATAAAGCCGTTAACTGACCTCTCAAGCTTTTAAGAAAGCAAACCCCAAAAAGTATGACAAAATTCAAGAGGTTAAAAAAAATCTAAAAGTACAGTATAAGTGTAAAAGATGTCTCTTTTTTAAACTACTTCATGGGAAATTGATTCCATATCTTATTAGCAGTTTCTTTTGTTAGTAAGCTGATAATCATCCAACATGCTTTGAGAGGAGTCCAAAGCCTCAGATTACTATATCACATTTACTCTGAGCATGACACATGAACAAATGGAGGGGGGGGGGGGGGGTGATGTGGCTGAAGCTGGGTGAGCAATCAGAGTCTAATGATAGCTAATGTTAGTTTAACCCCGTACTGAATGCACGATGCTATCAGAGAAAGTGTCTCTTCGAGTGGCTTCGAGCTCAGCAGCTTAATGATTAGCTGACAGCTTATGGTTAATGGCTTGTCTATTTTCAAACTGGAACATTCCCTTTTGCTTTTCTTATTTTTATGCCCAGGGTAGGAATTTATTTGCCATGCCTTCCCATTTCCAGGAGCGCGTACCAAGCAGAAAATGCCCCCTGTTGTGGTCAGTCCTCCACTGATCAGCCTTTATTAATCACAGTGAGGTTAAGGGTGATGGTCAGCAGCACCTCAGTGGTTTTGGTTTGTTTCCTTCTACAGGACACTGATCCAGCAGCCCGGTGGTTACAAACTCGTGTCTTGAGGTTTAAAGCCAGCAGCTTGACTTTTGTGCTGATGTTTCCAGTTTCTGGTTTCCAGCTCCGCGGGATTAAAACGAGACAGTGAGCCGCTCCAAGACCCACTTTCTGCTGTCAGTGAGAGGTTTGAATTGTGACCTGGAAAAAAAAAAAGAAACTGTCCGGCGCAGGGTGAAGACACAGACACACACACACCGACGTGCACTCAAACGAGTACACACTTGCACAGAGAGAGAAAAAATAGGGCAAGGAGAAGAAGGGGGCACTGACGTTATCCCGCGCACCTTTGGGAATTAACCCCTCTGCAATACTGGCTCATTAGTCAAAATGGTCTGAGGGCTGTTTGTGCCACATCTATTTCCGTCTTCAGCTCTCCGCTTTGCTTCACTTCTCTGCAGAGACTGAGCGGAGGACGCTAATGGCGGTTGACCCAGCGGTTTGGGAGAAACGGACAGGTAGAGGGAGCCGGACACGGGCACCGCGTCCACGCGTGGGATTTGCTGCGTGCGGGCCTCTAACTGTGTCAAGGACAGGAGCAGATAAACGGGGCGAAGCCAGTGAGGGGAGTGAGAGGAGACCTGATTCAATAATACCACGGATACACAAGCACACACTCTCCACGCCGCTCTAAAAAGTAAATAAGCCTTTGCTGTTTGCTGCACAAGCAGAGCTCTGCCCTCTTCATGGGTATTTGGTAAATATTAAGCTGCTTTGTAGACAGAGCCATGCACAGAGGAGGGAAAAACATGGGACAGAGAGCAGGATTGACCCAACTCTTTTTCCATTTTTTCTTTTGCATGCAACGGTTCATACAAATACCATCTTTCCCCGGTTTGCTCAACCCTGTGTTATTTTTCCAATACAACACAATTTCACTGTGTGGATGATGGATTCTCCTACCCATATTTACACACATGCAATTTTTTGCTCCCTTGATGCCTCAGTTGTTGATTCTAACCTCTCTTTGCAATTGGCTGTCAAGTAAGAGTAGTAGAGTAGTAGACCGTTAGTCATGGCTGATGTTTAGCTGTGATTGGTGGACACAGATGTAGAGGAGTGTCAATCCAGAAGTAGTTCAGCCATGCTCTCATCCATGTCAGCGGTCATTTTCTGCACGGCTGCCTTGCAGACTCTTGCAAAAATATACATCATACTAAGATTTACCGTGCACGATGCCTCTCTATAAGGATTTATTTAGTCTGCATTGAATTACATTAAAGGGGCTCAAAGATCAATAGGCAACAACAATGGCAAAAGAGAGTTTCAAGTCATTGTACTGATGTGTCTGTTAAGGTTTCATGTGCAAATAAGTACTGGGACTAGTTTGATGCTAAATGAGGCAAGACTGTGACCTAGAATTTATCAAATGTTACATACAGTATAACTGATGATAAAGTGGATGTTGTGCATATGGT